ATTTGCACCCCCCCCCCTTCAAACTTTCGATTTGCACCCCCCTCAGACTTTTCATTTGCACCCCCCTCAAACTTTCGATTTATATATATATACCGAGGGGTCTATGGGGGGGGGGGGTATGACCCCCCCAACCCCCCCTCCTGCCTACTCCACTGAGTTCTACCAACACAATTTAGTATTACATGTCAACTAGTTATGCGCCATGTAGGCCGTTGACTCCGATTTCAGCCTGCTTTTCTCTTTGGATTTGCTTCCATATCCTTTATCCTACCAAGAACAAACTACAAGGCAGCAGTTGTGTTTGATTTTGGGAGTTGTCTTTCCTAGAGGAGTTACTGTCCCCAGCTATCGAGCCTTATCTAACCGGGGGTTCGTACTTTGGGAACTGGGAGTTCCACAAACCCTACCACGAACCCCAGAGTTTTGAGATAATAATTTGCCTAGATTTTTTTGCCTAGAGCAAAAATTCATCTTTAAGTGAACAACGATGAGATAAAACACCGCATGGTTTGGTCTGTAATGCTCAGCAGTCTAAAATACTTTCAACACAGTTGTTAATTTTGAAAGTGCTTTCCATTATATTGATTTTTTTATTTTCTTTTTTGTCTATGGCTAGTCAGTAGGGAGCTTTTTAAAGTTGGACGACTCCGTGTTCACAGGAGAAGACAACTCAGGGGCAATTAGATTTAACAAACAATACAAGTGCTCTTCCCCTGCCACACAGCTAAAAAAAAAATGTTGGAATTCCCGAACCTGACATGTACCGAATCTTTACTAGTCTGTGTCATAGCTATCAGTGGTTCTCAAATTATTATCACGGGGGTAGGGGTGGGGGGGGGGGGGTTAATGTCAAAAATATAGCTGTACCTGAGATTTATATCATATCAACAATTCTTAAATAAATGGCGAGCCTACTTTTAATAAATAAAATGACGCATGTTTACATTTTTGAATACATTTCTGCGTAGATTTTTATCACCAACGAGAGAAGCACCGGTTGATAAAAAGAATGGAATGTTTAGAAGAAAATTTTTAGTGGTTTGAATTCTCAAAGAGCAAGTAAAAAAAAAGTGTATAGGCGCGGTTAGACATGCGTTTTAAAGTTTAAAAGATAGCAGTGAGATAGACACGGAGTATGTATTGATAGGTTGGTTTTTTTTTTTTTAAACGTCTGTCTGCGTGTTAGCTGCTTTTGTGGTGGTGGTGTGTGGGTGGGGGGGGGGGGGGGGGGGGTTAAAGGATTTACCTGCGTGTACGATCATTGCAGTTGTACCGATTTATTCCACCTGGGTTCAATGACATTAGAGAAAAATGAATTAAATTTATTTGACGTTTTAAAATACGGGTTTTGCCAATTGAGAATAAACAGTTTACATTGCTTCATCATATTTTCCCGTTCGTGCCCAATACACATGGGGCAGATACAGTAGAGTTATTCAATGACCTCGGCACACTAGGGGGGTAATGTGGTCCAGCCGCATTTGTTTCTCTTAGGTAAGTCAGGTACCCATCAGAGCTGGATGGACTGATTGGACTCGAAGACGCTTTCTAGTTGCAAGTCCGAACTGAGATACGAACTCGAGGCGAAAGATCTACCATTCAACTATTAAATTTACATGTTATTATAACTGACCTATCCATCTTCACATCCAGTTCCATATCCATATCTCTATCCCAATCATTATCCAAATAGCTATCTATTTCCCAATACTACCATTTTAAATATCCAGCTCCTTAAACCTAATCTTATCCCTAAATTCCAAATCAACAATAAACCTAACCCTAACCTTATCCACAACCTTGTCCCTTGATCTATAACTTTTTAAACATTTTTCTCTCTAAATGACCCGGGAATGGGGTGATTGACAAAGGGGAATTGATGTTAAGTAAGGTTATCTCCGGGAGGTGGGGAAGGGGGTGATAATGGCCTGCCCCAAGAAAATACGACGTGTTTTTATCAGTAAACATAAATAATGAGCTGTTATTTGTGTTTTGTTTATAATGAACTGAGTGAACCGAAAGCCCCTTAGCCGGTCCCAAAATAACTTACATACATTGATATCTATATATGTCACTCACTGTTCGCATTGTGCCAGAAGCCACACCCCTACACTCCTTCCCCTGTCAGTTGTTCATGTTGGTGGTATAGTTTCTTTTAGCCAACAACAGGATCATGGCCAAATTCGTGTTGTTTTGGCCATCCTTGTTGAGTTGGCCAAATACATTTAGTTTTTTCGTGCATGTATTTAGCCTAGTCCCGAACGGTCTGTTTATACGATTGCTTTCCTTTTGGTTTATTATTTCACCACGGGGTTCAGTTTTTATCTCCCTTGGCAGTACCGCTGAATGCATGTCTCTTTACTTATTATTTCCCTTTAAATAAACCTGTATGTATGTCTATAAATGCAAACATCACGATTTTCATAAGAAAGATTTGTGTTGGAATTATAAAATGAAAACACGTTTAAAAAATAAATAAATAAAACATTCTGTTTATTTTCCGGTTCGTGACTTCGTGTTTAAAGTGTTGTTACGTATGTTCGTCTAGAAATGTAGCATGTCAACATACATGTGTGTGTATTGGCAACGATTTCTTTAGCTGTCGGCCAGCTTCCAAACGGTTCATTAACTGTTTTCTAACAAAGAAGATATACACCTACATTAGAGTGCTATTTATGTCCTTCTTTATTTAACATTCTCTAAATTAGGAAACAATTCTTGCTAAGCTACGTGATCTATTGTTTGTCAAAAAAAAAACTATGTTAAAAACTGCAACCAGAACATGATATGGAACAATGCAGCCCACATAAAATATAGAATATTGATGGCTACACAAATTGCTCACAAACATACTATGATATGACAATGCACATAACATGTACATAAAATATTTAACAAAAATATCCAAAAAAAACTTTAACAGAGCTGTCCTCATAAAAATACAGAACAGTGCTAACCACATTATTTTAGAACATTGCTGTTCACATATAATTGGGCATAGTGCTAACCACACACACTGTTCCAATACTATGATATTACTATGCACCTAAAATATAGAACACCAATAACCATAAACAAACTTCAACAGTGCTACCTACACAAAATACAGAATAGTGCTGACTGCTAACCACATATAACTTAGAGCAGTGTTACCTAAATACAATAAAGAGCTTAACTGTTCACATACAGTTGGGCACAGTGCTGACCGCATACAATAAGAACCGTTTTAACCATATACAATATGTGACAATAATGTGCATATACTTTAAAACACAATGTTAACCACATACAATATTGAACAATGCTTAGCACATATATTTTAGAACAGATTTACCAAAATAAAATATGGAACAGTGCTGTTCACAAACAATTGGGCTTGGTGCTAACTATATATAATATGGACCAGTGTTAACCACATACAATATAGAATAGTGTTACAACACACAATATGGAACAATGCTAACCAACACATAATATGGGTGAGTGACATACAAACTTATGTGAGGTTTCTTTACATAATACAATTATTGGAACAGTGCAACATAGACACGATTGTCATATTTTATATAAACCACTAATTAATCCTCATCATTAATTAGCGTTTCTACTTCTAAAATAAATTCATTTCTCTTCTAAACCCAACCGCTAAAATAAATGAAACACAACGTTAAGAGCATAACCTTCTTTCTATGTTTTTTTTTTATTTTTTTATAAAACACGTATTTATTTCATCTATTCGCATCTACATTCACAGCATTCTTAACCTCCATATAATGATCAAATTACCCTACTAATGTTCCATAGATCTTTTTGACTGCTGCCAGTAATGAAATCGACCTTTTCTCTCCCCGCCTTTACACTGTAGCTATATCCGGCGCCCCGGTCGTATATTTTTTTCCGGTTCAACATTTTAAAATATTTTCCCCTACCAGCCTGCGGTTACGTCGCCCCAAACAGACAAACACCGCTGGTGTGAACCTGTGACATTTTCCCCTGCGCATACACTCCCCCTCCCTTCCCTTCTTTGTCTCTGATTCCCTCCCTCATTCCCTTTGTTCTTGTGTGTGTGTTGGGGATGGTTTTTTTTCTCTCTCGCGCCATTGTCAAGGCAGAAATCATGCAATGGCTGTTGACACAGGCCCGCAGGTAAAATGGATCCCGCGTTTGTCTAGTCTCAAAGCTACATTCTTCGGGCAGGACCGAGCAATTGAATTATAATAGAGATGGCATTGCTATGTGCAGGGGCGTAGTTCATGGTGAGCAGGTGTGCGGAGGGGGGGGGGTAGGGGGGGAAGGAGTTGGGGGAAGCATATTGCTCACGAATATGAATGTAAAGGGCTATATTGAGTTAGAGTGCAAACTATAATCAAGGTATGAATTGATCCAAAAAGCAATGATTACAGTTATTACTGTAAAAATATTTACAAAAAAAATTTATAAAAACTTTAATTTGTTATTATTGTTAAAAGATTTTGGGGACCCTTTAGTCGGGAGCCCTTGGACATTACAATACGAGCTTTCCGCTTTATCCACCCTTGCTCTGTCAAAACTAAACAAGTCTTAGTATGAAATCCATATCATAATTCAATTAAATTTTTACACTTTCACCATTGGAATATAAAGCAAAGTAAAAAAGTTGAAGATTAAAATGGAGACAAAGCTAAACCTATAATTTATGTGAATACATTGCACCAATCCAAACTCTTGCATTTAATTTGACCAGCTTGCCTTGTTTTAAATTCAAATAGTTGAAGAATGACATTTTTATTTTTGTTTATTACATAAACGTTTTAAAAATTCTATTAATTCCTTATAAGACCAATATATTGTGTTTTTTTAAAAGAACAAATAACATTACTCATTGCTTTGAGTATATCTTTTACCTCAAATTATAATTTTTTTAAATTGTCCAACATTGTAAAAATATTGTCAATTTTTCATCAACTTATTTTTTTAAAGATAAATATAAATCTGAAACTCTAGCACGCAAAAGTACCTACCAGTTTAAAGAAGGCCTTTAACTGTCCTCTCAATTCGTAACAAAGTCCTCACGAGACCTTCCCAAATCTGAACAAAGTCCTCACGGGTCCTCTTCAACCAAAGTCCAATCAAAGTCCTGCTTCTAAGACGCGGAGTCACAGCGAGTCAGAGTCTAATCCTCGCCTCTTTTATAGGATTTCTCCCCCCACACGAGTCGTGTGAGGATTAGTGTAGATTAGGCGAATGCGGCGACCACATCTAGAACATCAAACACGCCGGTACCACACCGTCTGGAATTTCCCGCCTCTTTTCTGTCAGAACTCTCGAACCATCTCTCTAGCTGAAACTCTTTAACTAAACTCTCTAACTAAACTCTCTAAAACAAACCTTCCCCTGAACAAATTATATTTAAAAAAAAAAATTCACAAATTTAACAGTATATTGTTTTTGTTTTTAAATATAAAACAGTTACGATGATGAATAAAAATTGAAATAAATATCAGGCGGATTATACACAGTCCGTTAATTATCGGGGCAGAACCCGCACGCGCCTAGAGATGCGAGTGAGTTGCGCGCGTGGGGCCACGGTGGTATCATTAGCAGCCGTTTGTGAGTTGGGGGGATGGGATATGTTTTTCAACAACACACGGAGGTAGCGCTGGGGGAACAGACAGACGTTTGGTGGTGAAGGGAACAGACGCGGAACATAAGCGGAACATTGGTGGCAATAAGCATTGGAGATGTGGTCATGGTGATTTTGATAGAAATTTATAAATAGAGTAGGGTGTGGGTTGGGTTGGGTTTTTATATTAATTTTATAAAAAGAGTAGAGGGTGGATTGGGTTGGGTTTTTTATATTAATTTTATAAAAAGTTTAGAGTGTGGGTTGGGTTTTTTTTTAATATTAATTTTATAAAAAGAGTAGAGGGTGGGTTGGGTTGTTTTTTTTTAATATTAATTTTATAAAAAAAAGTAGAAGGTCGGTTAGGTTGTTGTTTTTTTTTTATATTAATTTTACACAAAAAGTATACTGTGGGTTGGGATGGGTTTTTCATATTAATTTTATAAAAAGTGTAGAGTGTGGGTTGGGTTGGTTTTTTTTAAAATTTTAATTTTGAAAAGAATGGAGGGTGGGGTTGGGTTGGGGATTTTGTGTTGTGATGTTCTAGTAATAAAGTTTAGCTTAAGATTTGAGGCGTTCAGATGGATGGTATTACGATTGGGGTAGCAGAAAAAAATACGATGTTTTATTGATGATGGTAGCAAGCGAACAAACTGATGGTAGATTGATAGTAGTCTCGTAGTATAGTGATGGTTGTTTTATCGTGATATCTGGAAGATGGTAAGTCGATCATGGTTGATTTATTTGTATATCGTAGTGATGTGGTTCAATGATGGTTGTTTTATTGCTATATTCTGGTGATGCTAGTTCAATAATGATTGTTTTATCGTTATATCCTGGTGATAGTAGGTCAATGATGGTTTCTTGACGGTGATATTGTAGTTATTGTGGTTTAATGACGATTGTTTTATGACGTAGATTGATGTTGCTGACCACAGCCTTATGGTAAGTTTATGTTTGTAACGTTTAAACGATTCTGTCAAGCTAGTGACAGACATAGGTGTAGGTCAGTGACCGATGTCAGTTTTCACGTACACACACCCGCGCACATGCATTCTGGGTCTCCCACACAAACACACACATACACACACTCACGCACAGACGTGCTCACACATAAAGACACACAAAGCACACACATACCCACACATGCACAATGGCTTTCACACATAAACACACTCAAAACACATACAACCCACACCCCCTACACACATGTAACCTCAACATCACCCAACAGCTACAGCACCGTTGATGAACGCTTGCCACCACGATGGCATCTACCGTTGGCATGGTTACCCAGACACACCTTGTACCCGCTACCCCTGTCAATTATGTCTACCCTGACGTGGGGGTGGGGACGCTGACTGGCTCTGTTACAATGTAGGAATGTTGATATGAACATTATATATGCATATATATATATGTATATATATATATGTTGTGGTTGTGTTGTGGTTGTGTTTTGTTTGTGTTGTGTTTTTGTTTGTTTTGTTCTGTTCCGAAGTTGGTAAATTAAAAAAAGTTTTACCGTGGCGGAGCACGGGTATGCAGCTAGTATATATATATATATATATATATATATATATATATATATATATATATATATATATATATATATATATATATATATATATTATATTATATTATATATATATATATATATATATATATATATATATATATATATATATATATATATATATATATATATATATATATATAATGCAGTAGCGTACGCAGGGGGGGAGCAGGGGGAGCGGCCGCTCCCCCTCTGGCCATTTTCAGCAAAGTGGCGCCTTTTTGGAAACTTTTAAAACTCAAAGTTTTAAACAATGATATTTGTTAAAAAAATAGTTTTGGTCGGCACATCTATGTAAATCACAAGATTTCTTTTCATGCAGCAATTAAGCATTATTGTACTAGTCTAGTAGTGTCTACGTTTACAACACGTATTAACAGCTGCATCAGTTTGCCATTCTAAAAATAACTATTATGATGAATTGCAATGTTTAAAAAACCTCTACGGTAGTACCACTTGGCAAGAAGAGCCTGGTACGTCGGACTCCCAAGTCCCCTACATGATAGCGAGCCAAGAGATTTGTCCGCACTAGACGGGCGAATCTCCGTTGCTTGCTCTAAATAGCGTGGGGGAGGAGAGGTGCAAGACTGCCGGGAACCAAGAAGGGTTTTGCTCTCGACCCTAACCAGATGTCTTGACTTTAAGCTGCGGCCTTCACGTGGCTTCGGATGTGTGCCACTAGTCGGACCAAGCTCATGACCCCCCCCCCCCCCCTAGTGGGTGCGGGATGGCTAGTGGTAGCCAACAGCAGCTAGAGGTTTTTGATCTGGCCGAGTAGAACTGCTGTATGCGTTCGGCTCTTCCGAAGAACCTGGTAAGTCGGACTCCCAAGTCCCCCACATAATAGCGTGGGGGGAGGAGAGGTGCAAGACTGCCGGGAACCAAAAGGGTCCGCCGCCAGATCTTTCTTTTGACTTTAAGCGGCGGCCTTAACGGGGCTTCGGAATAATGCCACTGGTCCGACCAAACTCATGTCCCCCCTAGTGGGTGCGGAATGGCTGGTGGCAGATAACAGCAGCTAGAGGGTTTTGATCTGGCGGAATGCCCCCCACGATCAAGCTGGGTACCAGGCGGTAGGACGACGTCCCGCGTCTGGTGGGTGGGGAAGGAAAGCCCGGTGAGAGCCCACGGAAGTAGCGACCGATGTGTGGGAAACTCTCTCGGGATTTGCCACACTGAGGCCTGCCTGGCTAATGGAAGTGAACCTTCTGAGCCGTTTTCCGTATAAGGAAGGAAGGAAGGCAAGAGGGGTATTAAGTTTAAGGCAACTGTATAATGTATTTGCTTACGAAAAATTGAATTAGAAAATGTTATACATAAAACTTCACACATAATTACTTTATATATACAGTTTGAATCGTGTGATTAATTTTTTTTTAAATTACAATACAGAAACAAATACAACTGATGTGGCACCTCTATTTAAATTTACTGATGAGCAAACTGCGTAGTGGTGGGGAAATTTTGACAAGGTCAACAACGTTATCACGATGAAGTAGTAGTATTCTTACAGTTTGGGCGATTGTGATTACGATTACAAATTATATGAAACAGTTACAACCCCCCTCCCCCATGGACCCCTCTGTAAAAAAAAAATATTGTCATAATACCACTGCTACTTACTTAAATCTATTTCTGTAATATATATTTTTGTAATATATATTTGTGTAATATATATGTATGTTTAGAACAGTCATCTAAAACCTGACGCTATGTTCACTCTGAGTTGGTTATCTCCCCCCCCCCCCCCCCCCCCCACACACACACCTCACCACCACAATTGTGTAGAGCGACATTAATGTCACACCTAGGTATACACTGGGTTGGATAATTGACCTAAAGTGACCGGACAGTGGTGAATGAAGTTGAACCCCCCCCCCCCCCACCCCACCCCAACCCACGCCGAATTGATCTATTAAGTACATGTAGAAAAACGCGTAGTGATGTACCAAAGTACAATGCCTCTAAAAAAAATTAGCTTTTTAAACGTAAAACTCTGTGAATATCGTTTTTGCAATTACCAGTAAAAGGTGTGTGATCAATACAGTGATCTAACCCATAGCTATCACTATGTTAAAAAATGATCTTTAAAGAACACAAAGAAGCAGTAGTTATTTAAAAATATATGATCTGAACTAAAAATCGATATGTAGTTAATGTAGGCTTTTATTCCGAATGTTTTTCTATTATATCGAAAAACGTGGTTTTATACCAACTCTGATTTTAAAAACTTGCATTATGCTGTACTACTTTAGGATTTATGATGACGACATATTAAATTCTGATTATAGACAAAAACATTTTGTAAACACGAATAGTGTTAAACAATCTGATTATATTCTAAAGTAAATAATTTTATTTATTTTGAAATTTATAATTAAATGTGTAGATAAATACATATTTATATTAAGAGAGTGATTATTTCCCCTATTTCACTTGTCTTACATAATTTCCCAGGAATTATTATGTAAGATATTTGTTTACAAGAATTACGTTCATTGAATTTGGTTGTATTGTATATATATATATATATATATATATATATATATATATATATATATATATATATATATATATATATATATATATATATATATATATATATATATATATATAGATTGATACAATGTTTGTTTTGTCGGCCTGCATTGTGTTTTTTCTTATTTCTTTAGAGTGCTACTTTCAATTTTTTTTACATCATAGCGAAGTAATGACATACTAATATATACATATATATATATATATATATATATATATATATATATATATATATATATATATATATATATATATATATATATATATATATATATATATATAATACACGTATATAGAACGTGTTACAAATTCGGCGCCTTTTTTGCTCTTTTCGCTCCCCCTACAACGAAAACCTGGATACGCCTCTGATATAATGCTTCATCAACATGTTTACCTGTACGTGCCCAAGACACATGGGGCAGATTAAGTAGAGGACAATTGTTTCAATGACCTCAGCACACACGGGAATAATGTGGTCAGCACGATGCCCAGAGGCCTTTGATATCCATAGCGGGAGTCAATCTAGACTCCAGATTCTGTGCTCAAGTATCAATAACGTCTCTGAATCTACTCAGTTGTGATGGGTACCTAACTGACGGTGAGAAAGTAAAGACGACTAGGCATAGTGTTGACCACACTATCACTTCATACTTCTTGGCCACAAACAAAGATACTCTCTTATGTCTGTGCCTTATAAAGCACCATATATGAAAGCAAAAAAAAAATGTTTCTGTATTTTAGTTTTAACTTAGAAAAGCAAAACATTTTTTTTAATTCTTCGAACGCGTGTATTCAACGCCTTTGTAAACGAA